TAAAATATAACTTAAATCATGATCTTGAAGAAATATTGGCACTCCTATGTTCTTTGCAACACTATTCACAACACTATTCAAGATGTGGAAACCATTTTACTCTCCATTGCCCAACAAAGTAAAAAGAACACAAATGAATGCAGCTGTAGAAGATAATGCTAAGTGAATTTAGCCAATCCCAAAAAACAAATGGCGAATATTTTCTCTGCTATAAGGTGACTGACTCATAGTGGGGTAGGGAGAGGAAGCATGGGAGGAATAGACGAACCCGAGACAGGGCAGAGGGGTGGGAGGGAAAGGGAGGAGGCAGGGGGTTAGCAATAATGGTGGAATGTGATAGACATCATTATCCAAAGTACAGGTATGAAGACATGAATTGGTGTGAACATACTTTATATACAAACAGAGATATGAAAAATTGTGTTCTATATGTGTAAAAAGAATTGTGATGCATTCCACTGCCATGTATTTAAAAAATAAAAGCATTTTTTTTAAGAAAAAGAACATATGGTATATACATACATGGAATTTTTTCTACTTTAAAGAGAAGGAAATTCTATAATATATGATGAGATGGATAAACCTTGGTGATATTATGCTAAGTAAAATAATCCAGTCAAAGAAAGACAAATACTATATGATTCCTCTAAGTGAGTTTCTAAGAGTTATAGAAGTAGAGAGTATAATGATAATTACCAGGCGGTTGGTAAAAGGAGAAAATGGGGAATTGATAATTTAAGAGTATCCAGTCTCAGTTATGCAAAGTGAATAAGTTAGACAACTACTGAATAATGGTCATGTGCTGCACAATATCATTTTGATCAATAATGAATCACATATTCAATGGAGATCTCATAAAATTCTAACGGAGCTGAAATTTGTCTATTACCTTGTATTTTTACTGTATTTTTTCTGACATGTTTAGAAAAATAAACATGCATGTTTATGTAACTGTGTTACAATTGCTGATAATATTCAGTACAGTAATATGCTATGTAGTTTATAGCCTAGGAGCGATAGATTATTTCATATGGTCTAAGTGTGTAGAATGCTTTACCATGTAGGTTTGTGTAAGTACAGTCTGTGATGTATGCACAACAGTAAAAATCATCTAATAACACATTTTTATCATTATGTGACACTTGACAGTAGTGAATATAACTCAATTGGATTGTGTTCCTACTAAAAAAAATACCACATGGTACTCTTAAACATCTTTAAAAAGGTAGATCTCATGTTAAGTGTTCTTATAATAAAAATAAAACTAAATCATATTAATGTGAAAAACAGACTTGAGA